GTTTTAGGGGAGGAGGGGGGGAGGGGGGATATATAGTATGTGTTAGATTTCAAATAATTTAACAACCGGGTCTCTGTTCTAATAACCAGCTGGGTAGGTGGGGCTCAGTGGTCATGTGACTGGGTGGGTGTGGCCAACTCAACGTCACTCATGTTGATTGGGCACTTCGCCTTAGCTGTTACAATGTAATAAGGGTTAACCAGAGGCAGTTTCTGTAAGCACGGCAATAAAGATTAGTCTAGAAACAACATCAGAATGTTTCCTTCCTGACTTCCTTCCAGGATTAGCCCTGTAAAGTGAAAGTAAATAAATAAATAAAAGGAGATTTCTTCCAACAACTGGTTCTCTGAACTGCTTAGAAAGTTAACAACCGGTTCTCCCGAATAGGTGCGGACTGGCTGAATCCCACCACTGATCCCACAGCAAAGGGGCGATGGTAAGCTTACCAGATAGGTACTGCAAAAATCTTGCATCCAGAAAAGATAAATAGCATTGGTCACAGAATGCAATTTGTAGTTCTCAAAGTGCTGGGCACAATATTCTGCTGTGTGATAGAGACGGCTGAAGATCCACTGGTCCATGGGAAATCTGGGGAAGACCTGGAAGGCCGTACAGAAAGATAATTCGCAGTCACGATGCCTATTGGGTATTAATAAAGATCTACTTTCTTGAAAACAGAAGAAGATTAAGGGATTAAAAACTGATTGCAGACAAGCCATAAGTACAGTAAGGAAGTAAGGAAGAGGACAAGTTTGAAACTTGGGACCATTAGAGACGGTCTGCAGCTTATGACTGTTTGCTCAAAGTTATGACAGACCATCCAAAGCAGTGGTGAAATTCAAAAAAAATTTGCTAGTGGTTTTGTGGCCGTGGCTTGGTGGGTATGGTAGGAGAAGGATACTGCAAAATCCCCATTCCCATCCCACTCTGGGGCCAGTTTGCCAGTTCTCCGAACTACTCAAAATTTCTGCTACTGGTTCTCCAGAACCTGTCAGAACCTGCTGAATTTCACCCCTGATCCAAAGGTATTTAGGACCTGGTTTTGAAGTCCTGAGAGCCAGCCCCTCATCCCACACAGTAATATGAGTGCATTTATTGCCACTTACAGTGTCCTTTGATCACGGGATTTCTATTTACGTTTTTGCTGAAAAAGCCATTTATTTAGGATTTTCAACAAAAAAATACTAAAATTGTGGCATTCACTAATGACCATGGATTCATTTAATGATCTTGGTGATTCCTTTAATAGCAGTAGCAATAGCAGTTAGACTTATATACCGCTTCATAGGGCTTTCAGCCCTCTCTAAGCAGTTTTTACAGAGTCAGCATATGGCCCCCACAATCTGGGTCCTCATTTTACCCACCTCGGAAGGATGGAAGGCTGAGTCAACCCTGAGCCGGTGAGATTTGAACTGCTGAACTGCAGATAGCAGTCAGCTGAAGTGGCCTGCAGTACTGCACTCTACCCACTGCGCCACCTCGGCTCATGACCACTGGATAAAGAGGTCGTAAAATTGGGTCATGGTGATGCCCTTATGACTATCTCGATTGATAATCATAATGGGCAGGCTCCATTAAGGTCATAAGTCAAGGACTATCTTTTACACACGGGGGGGGGGGGATCCTATATTCTAGATTTCTCTTAACAGAGCCCCTAATTTGCACCGAATTGCTCTCCATCACTGTAATTGTGCTAAAGGTGCTAGATGCTGAGACAGAGATTTCTTGTCGAACTCTAAATATGGTCATTTCTCAGTTGTGATTACATGACAAACCATAGCAGAAGCACAATCTCCACTCACACAGCTTCTGAACAATTGCCAGGAGTTAATTAACTTCTAGTGCAATGATCAATGTGTAGTCTAATGAAAAAAAAGGACTAGCAGTGACATGATAGCACTGTTCCAATATTTGAGGGGCCGCCAGAAAGAAGTGGAGGGAGGGGGAGACAACCTATTCACCAAAGCACCTGAAGGCAGGACAAGAATCAATGAATGGAAATTAATCAAGAAGAGAACCAATCTAGAACTAAGGAGAAATTTCCTGACAGTGAAAACAATTAACCAGTGGAATAGCTATAGCACTTAGGCTTCTATACCACTTTACACTGGTTTGCAGCCCTCTCTAAGCGGTTTACAGAGTCATCATATTGCCCCCAGCAATCTGGGTCCTCATTTTACCGACCTCGGAAGGACGGAAGGCTGAGTCAACCTTGAGCCTGGTGAGACTCAAACTGCCAAATTGCAGTCAGCTGGCAGTCAGCAGAAGTAGCCTGCAGTAAAGAGTTTTAACTACTGTGCCAATGGCTGGCCTTCACAAGTTGTGGGTGCTCCATCGCTTTGAAGAAGAGATTGGACAGCCACTTGTCCGGAACAGTAGAGTCTCCTGCTTGAGTAGCAGGTTGGACTAGAAGACCTCCAAGGTCTCTTCCACTGTTATTCTGTTATTTGAGATAGTTATCCACACCACCAGGGGATCCAGAGTTCAGAAGGCCCACAATATTTGGGGACCTGACGTTTATTTATCTATGCCTTTTCTTAGTTCTTGACCAAAGACAGACAACATCCAATGATCTTCAACACCATCTGGACACCCAAAGTTAGAAACATTGCCTAAAATGGACAGAGGGGTCACCAATGTCTCAAGAGCGCTTTCATCCCACACAATAAAAGACCATTTTTAAATATCTCCCCACAATTTTACCATAGTTTTCACTCCCAGTTACCTGCTCTGGATCCAGTGGGGCAAACTCTTCTCCCAAGGCTGCAAAAGTGAACTTTAGGGCATTCCACACCTTATTACAGAAATGGGAGGCTTTTTCCATGTCTGCCATATCTAGATTAATACTGGTGCCTGTAGGGATATAAATTAAGTGGAGCCTAAATTTTCATGTGCACCTATGATAGACAGTTGTCATTAATTTATACAACCAGTAGTTGTATTATATCATGAAGTCAGGACTAGCTAAGGTAAAGATAAAGATTCCCCTCGCACACATGTGCTAGTCATTCCCAACTCTAGGGGGTGCTGCTCATCTCCATTTGAAAGCTGAAGAGCCAGCACTGTCCGAAGACGTCTCCGTGGTCATGTGGCTGGCATGACTAAATGCTGAAGGCGCATGGAACGCTGTTACCTTCCCACCAAAGGTGTCCCTATTTTTCTATTTGCATTTTTACATGCTTTCGAACTGCTAGGTTGGGAGAAGCTGGGACAAGTAACGGGAGCTCACTCGATGCTACGCTAAGGATTCAAACCGCCAAACTGCCAACCCTTCTGATCGACAAGCTCAGCGTCTTAGCCACTGAGCCACCACGTTCCTCAGGACTAACTACCTACATGGTGCCTATTGATTCCTCCCATAATATCTCTCTGGACACCCCAGATTTCCTAATTCTTCTGACTTTGTCCACATATCCTTTTAATCTAAATAAATAAACAGGAGGTTATTTGTTGCAAGAAAGCCTGCTTGGTATAATAGTTAAAGCAATGCTTCAAGCCTTGGAAACCTTAAGATATATGGACTTGTACAGGAGGGAGGGAGGGAGAGTCACCTTAATGAATTCAATGTAAGTCTAGATCAGAATTGACCCTTACAATTTTCAAGGTTACATTTTCAACCGAACCAGCATGAAAGAGACTTTTCCAAAATCTGTTTCATTCTAGCCTCCTTAGCTGGCCAACTACTGAGAGTTTGACCAATGGCCAAGTCAATAATAAATTGTTGGTTTTGTTCTTCTGGTTAGGAGTTCTTAAAGGGCCAGCAACAGCTCAACATCACGAGAGAAGGACTGAATGAATGGATGAATTTCTCACCGTGGGCACTGTAACGGCAGAGAGCAAACCTTAGCGCATCCGAGCCGCTTTCAGCAATTCCTTGAGGAAAATTCTGCAGCTGAACGGGAGCAGAGAAGGGAGCAGTGAGATCACAAGGGCCATGGGAACAGAGAGGGATGGGGTAAGGGGGGACAAAAAGGAAAAGCGATTACCAGGCCTTCTGAACCAATGACAAGCTCTCGTGGACTCAGATTGCTCTCCTTTAGCTTCTGCTGCAGGACCTGAAACAGGAATAGAAGCAGCCAATGACTGATGGGAAGCCACCTCCATGCAACCCAAGTCCATTTTTACAGCCTGCCCAAAACCTTTACCCCAAATCATGGCACCCACATTTTTGGCAGCATTTTTCTCATGTTTTTCAAGATATAATCCCCCAGGTACTTTAAGATGAAGCATTCCTTATTCCCATGATGGCGAACCTATAGCACACGTGCCACAGGTGACATGCACAGCCCTCTGCAGCCAAGCAAGCCGTCGCCCCAGCTCAGCTCCCACCGCGCATGCACATCTCCCACCAGCCAGCTAGTTTTGGGGTCTCTGCCACATATGCGCAGGGGGCCAGGGCACCTGCGGGAGACAGGTGTGCATGCGGGAGATGCGTGCCCATGCAGAGGGTCATGCAGGCATTCGGGAGACAGCACAGGGGGTTGTGGTGCCCCCCCTCCCACAGCCCGTTTTTGTACCCAGGGAGGCCTACTAGGTCCAAAATGGGTCATGTGGAGTGTCGCGCGCACATTGCATTGCGCTTTCACCACGTGACAACAAAAAGGTTAGCCATCACTGTCTTATTCCCTCAGATTCTGAGTCTCCGGGCTATAACCCTACATCCTCTGTTGTACAAATAAGCCCAGCTGGGAGGATTTTTTTAAAAAAAATCAAAGGGAAGGCTACGAAGGAAACTCTTAAATGTCCTCACATCTACCTGACCCATCAGAGCAGGGAGGCAGGGAATGCTGCGGGTCCCATCCCTGAGGAAGATACACCTGGTGGGACCCAGAAGGGCCTTCTCTGTGGTGGCTCCCCCTCTCTGGAACATCATCCCCCCAGAGATTAGAACGGCCCCCATTCAACACGGCCCCCACTTCTTCCGGAAGGTGTAGAAGACCTGGTTCTGCCAGTGGGCCTGGAGAACCCAGAGCGGGATGGAGCCCATTAAATGGCTCCTGTGCTCTGCTATCGCCGGGGTGGGTGATGGTTTTATTATGATTTTATTACATTATATTATATTAATTTATTTGATTCTTTTTATTAGTTTTATTGTTTTAAATGAGGTTTTATAGTCTGTAAGCCGCCTTGAGTCGCCAGGGCTGAACAGGCAGCAATATAAATTCAATAAATAAATAAATAAATGCAAAATACCTGCAAAGGGGCCCCATGAATAACATCCAAAGGGTCAATCACATTCCCGAGAGATTTGCTCATTTTTCTGCCTTGAGCATCATGAATTAAGGAGTGAAGGAATACCTGAAGCAGAGAGAAAGAAGACAGGGCATCAGACCCGGAAGCCATCTTTGGAATTGGGCTTTCAGGCCTGCCACATTTTCTGCTGTGGGAAAATGGGAGGGGGGATTATATGGACTATGGGAGAGAGAGATATATAGTCTAAATGACATTCTTTTCTCAGAGAGTCAAGGACACCTTGCCCTGCACCTGGAGTGGCGTGACTGGGAGACATCTCCAGTTGGGATGGTGTCCGATTGGCCATCTGATGGGACATGTGGGTGCTGGAGGCAGGGACTTGAACTTTCACTTGGATGGGGAAAACCTGGAAACTTTCAAATTTGGGTTTTCCCAGATGTGCCAATATGATATTTTTAATAAAATGGAACTTTGAGGAAACTCAAGACTCAGAGTCTTCTTTTGTTGGGGGTGACGCTTGGAACCCTGACACAGGATGGAGCACAAAACTCTACTAAAAATCTTCACCTTGGATTATTTTTTTCTCAGACACAGAATTTGTAAAATCGTAGAACTGAGAGGTAACCAAGGTTGGTTAGGTGACCACGTCCTACCTTCTTCTCAATCCAAGTTCAAGCTTCTCTAATCAATAGCTGTTTGTCTTCTGTATATCAAGGACCCCTCAGTCATCAGTTCTCTACATAATGGATTGCACTGATGAACAAATAATTTAAGAAAATCCTTCTGACATATGACTGCAACTTAAGATCACATCCTCTACTCTAGGAGTGCGTGGAATGGGACTGTTCTCCTCGTGCCCTTCGCCGCCCCTTGTTTACCCACAGGGTTCCGCCCCCAGCCATTGACCTCTACCATTTTGCCTCCGCTGTTAGGACGCTAGCTGTTCGCCCTGGGCAATGAGACCTAGCCTCTCCAGAACCTTCCTCATGGCCATTAGGTGAAATACTGCTCACCCCGGCCTTTTGAACTCAGGAGAAAGTTGGCCGCCAGCCAATCGGAGGAAGGGAAGGGAGAAAGAGAGAAAGGGGGAGGGAGAAAATTTCCCTGTCTAGTTTCCTCTCTGAGCCCAAAAGGCCAGGGTGAGCAGTATTTCGTCTAATGGCCCGTGAGGAAGGTTCTGGGACTGAAAAGGCTGCGTCCCATTGCCCAGGGCGAACATCTAAGGTCTTTTCAGGGGAGGCGAAATGGTAGAGGTCGATGGCTGGGGGCGGAACCTTGGGGCGAACAAGGGGCGGCGAAGGGTACGAGGAGAACAGTTCTAGACCCGGAGTGTGGGAGTGCTTGATCAGTGGAAAGGAACATGATTTCCTCCAAATTATTTGTACAACTATGATTCCTTGTCATTAACTACATTCTGGATATTTAAAGCCCCAACTAAACTGCCTATCCTGTAGAAAGATAAAGGTTCCCCTTGCACATATGTGCTACTCGTTCCTGACTCTAGGGGGCGGTGCTCATCTCTGTTTCAAAGCCAAAGAGCCAGCGCCACGTCTCTGTGGTCTTGTGGCCAGCATGACTAAATGCCAAAGGCGCATGGAACGCTGTTACCTTCCCACCAAAGGTGGTTCCTATTTTTCTACTTGCATTTTCACATGCTTTCAAACTGCTTGGTTAGCAGAAACCTATCCTGTAGTAGATGTATTATGGTCCTTCAACAAAAACTGAGGTAAACAATATGATATTCCCTATTTTAGGCAACGGTTTTTACAATTCTTTGTAAAAAGAATTTGGCTGTAGCTGGTGGAATGCAATCAAACTGAAGGGCACAAATTTCTTTATTTCTAATTTACACTATATAACTGGGAAGACAATAAAAGGTCATGATAGTCCCCAAGTTATGATCCAGAGTGACAAAGTACAACACAATAATACTAGATATATGACTGTGATGGAGTCTGTCCATTATGGTCATATGTTTCAACAGTCACAAAACAAAACAACCTGATTTTATGATGTTTTTTACAGCAGCCATTAAGTGAATGTGGCAATCATAAAGCAGATGCTATATTTTTTATCAAACACAGTCCTTAAAAAAACTAATGGTTTGTTATGGGCACAGTTTTGCTGAAAACCAAGAGTGGCAAAAGCAGCATAAACTGCAGTCAGGTAATTATGGGATGCTGTACACATCTGTAAATGCAGCCATGTTGCCGACGGTCTAAAGTTCGGTCACATGATGATGAAGAAGGCCTTCAAACTTCAAACAGTTACTGTGCGACCAATAATAAGCCAAGGACTGTCTAAATAACAATCTAAGCTGAATTCTGTGTGACAAATACAGGGGATGTCAATCAATGTAACAGCCCAAACAGAGTGATTTCAGGATGACAGAAAAATTAAGCAATGGAATTCAACGGGGAAAATGCAGCCTGTGAGGAAGAACACAGCATTAATTAATACCTAGCTAAGAACCGTGGTAGCAGAGTGATTAGAATGCAGTACTTCAGGCTACTTCTGCTGACCGTTGGCTGTCTGCAATTTGGCAGTTCGAATCTCACTAGGCTCAAGGTTGACTCGGCCTTCCATCCTTCCGAGGTGGGTAAAATGAGGACCCGGATTGTTAGGGGCAAGAGGCTGACTCTGTTAACCACTTAGAGAGGGCTGTAAAGCTCTGTAAAGCGATATATAAGTCTAAGTGCTATTGCTAGTCTAAGACTAAAGAAAGCTTCTCAGTGTGGATGGATATTTTGGCTCCTATCTCTCAGTTGGGTGTATGCCCTCATGTTCTTGAGGCCCAAGAGCTCCAAAAGGCAAGACACCTGGCTTCCAGCTCTCACCTGAGAGAAAGGCAGTTCTCCAGTCAGCTGTTTTCCCAGCATCACCATCCGGGCGACCCAAAAGAACAGAAGATCACTCCCAGTCTCCAAAAGGTTGTTGGGGAAAAATTGCTGGAGGTCTTCTGTCTGAAGGAAACAGAGATGCCTCTGAGATCACCGTCACCATTAGGGAACATTCTTATTCACAAGGTTCCTATCCAACTTGGGAAATCATCTAGAGCACGTCTGCTGAAGGCCCCATGTTCACAAGAGATGAAAACAGTGAACCCGGGAGCAAGACTTTGGGGTGATTGCCCCGGTGCTGTGGAACATATTGCTCCCACCGATGCAATTGGTCCACCCATTCCTGGAAGCCCGGACTGAAGATAGAAGACACTTCTTTTTTAGCACACCCTGAATACATTATCGGGTAATTGTTCTAACCTAGTCTTCACAAAATCACAAAGTAGACTCCTTGTCCCAAGAAAACCACTTTGTATTAAGCTAATGTGAATTCCTCTCACTCATATCCAGCAAAGTCCCGGAAAACAGTCTTTCAGGCGTGAATTTACAACCACAGACTTTATCAGGCTTAGAGATCTGCCAAGCCGATAGCTTCCAAATGAAAGAAAATACTTGGCAAGGAGTCTCTGAGAGTCACGAACAAATATTCACACTAATTAATTCAACTTATTGTCTCCTGCAAACTCCATTCCCCTTTCGCTCCTCTTTATTCCCTATGGGAGGGGCCGTTCACCATCCACCTGTGCCTTTACTACCGATTCGCCTCTTGTTCCTTAACTGTTCCCTTCTCCTGGCAGCTCTGTGCATACACACATTGGGAACAGGCTCCAGCTGTTCTTCTGCCCCACTGATCTCCGACTTCGGAGACAGCTGATAACTGTCAGACAGCCCTGGCCCCATCTCTGCCTCCAACACAGAGCCTTCCCCAGACTCCAGGACTGGCCCATGTTCCTCCCCAACCTCCTCACTGTCCGACTCTGCCACCAGCTCCGCTGACTGCTGGCGGGCCACAACAGTAATGAATGGGCAGCCATTGAGTTACATCTTGCTGTTGTTTTTATATTGGGGCTGACTGGGTTTTTGGTTTTAATGGCAAACTGCAGGGTGTCATTTAGGGTTTGTGTTTTACATTATTTTACACTGTATATTTTTTCAGAGTTGTTTTGACCAGGTGGTACAGATAATCTATAAAATAAAATACATTTTAGGAGAACAAATGGTCATTTTCATCTTTTTTATTTATCAATCTCAGGAACCTCTGGTAGGAAAGAAGGGGTTGGAATGATTAATCCACAGAATATTTTAAACCAGGGGTGTCAAACTCAAGGCCCACTGGCCTGATCCAGCCCGTGGGGTGCTTAGATCTGGCCCAGGGGCCAGCCTGGAAATACCAAAGGACTGGCCCACGGTGCCTCTGCCGGCCAAAACAGGGCACAGGCAGCCTCCCCGCACCCCGTTTTCAGCCTGGACGGCCTTCTGCAGCACCCTGCAGGCCAAAATGGGGTGCAGGGAGGCTCCCCCCATGCCCCATTTTGGCTCATAGGGTGCTGCAGAAGGCATCTGTCCCATCTCCCACCTGACCCGTCTCTCGTCCCCCCCAAACCGACCCGTGGAGGACAACTACAATGCTGATCCGGCCCTTGAAGAAATCCAGTTTGACACCCCTGTTTTAAACCATAACATCAATTTTGTATTATTTTACCATTTTGAATGGAAAGAGCCACTATGGTTTGTGAGTCACAGCTGATGCCTTTACATTCTTGATCATCCCAGCCATCTCCAGCTCCGTCATTAAACCATAGCTAAGCAAATGTATGTTTTTCCCTGATGGGTCAATTAAGCCTAAATCTCCATGTCCACACTGTGAAATGGAAAGACCAGCAACCCAACTTTTGGCTTGATTCTGAAGACAATGAGGACAGACTTGTGGGGTGGGGTCTCTGTGGGTAGGTTTTCCAGTCCCATCAGATCTGGAGGGGGCCGGGTTGGGTCAAAAGCTGTAAAATCCTTGTCTGCCAAAGTTTTTCTTTTTTCTATGGTGACAATTTTCACAGGAAAGCAATCAAGTGCCAAAATGCCACCCACTTCAAATGTTCTGATTCTCTATCATTTCTGGGTAGGACTTATCAGAAATGGTCGTAGCAGAACATGTTGCTTCCCAAACACGCTTATCCTGGATTGTGGATTGCAATTCACACATTCTACCCAGAAAGGATGGATGAGAAGAAAGGGAGTTTGATTCGCACGTATAATTTCCTGTGAGCCTGAACAAGAGTCAGGGATGATGGGATGATGGGAGTTGGGATCCAATATACCTAGATGAAGGAAATCTGGATGTACCATATTTTTCGGAGTATAAGACGCACCTTTTCCCCCCCAAAAAGAGGATGAAAATCTGGGTGCATCTTATACACTGAATACAGCATTTTTGGCTTACCAAAACCCCGCCCTCTTTGCAAAAATGGACGTGCAGACGGTTTGGAAGGCTTGCAAAGTGCTCCTGGGGGCTGGGGAGGGCAGTAACCAGCAAATACAGGTCGTTTTTGCCCCCCCCCCCCCCCCCGCTCCCAGGAGCACTCTACAAGCCTCCTAAAGGCTATTCATGCCTTTATTTTTTATTTTATTTTATTTTTGCAAAAAATGAGGCGTGCAGAGTGTTTGGAAAACCTGCAGAGTGCAAAAACTTTTTTAAAAATTTACCTCTTCAAAATCATGGTGTGTCTTATATTCCAGTGCGTCTTATAGTCCGAAAAAGATGGTAGTTAAACAAGAATAGCTTTGGGAGACAGGAGCAAAAGCTACAGCTTGGGCCATGGTCACATAAGAGACATCTCATCCCACAGAATGAATGGGAATGGGCAAAGCATCGCAGAAGGGACTCTCCTTAGTTCTCTGGAAAGCAAAGGCAATGGAGGAGAGAAGGCTTGCAAGATTGTTACTATAACCTTAAAATAAAGGTATAGTTACTACTCATGGCTTTGGTTTCCTGTCCAGACTGCCACAAATATGGCCAATGCAAGCCAACTGCTCTATTTCCCCAAAGGTTACTCACCTTGTGGGGCCAGCCCAAAGCAGCAAAAGGGAAAAGGCTGGAGGAGAACCAAGTATCCAAGACATCAGCATCTAGAGAAGAGAAAAGCAAATAGAAAGTTTGCCTTTAAAAACATCTCACAACCTCTTTGGTTCTAAAAGACTCAGTGTAGCCATGTATCTGTGGAAAAGGTTTTCTAGAAATACTGTGTTTTGCCATGTTAGGCACGCACCAGTGGTGAAATTCAATTTTTTTTACTACCAGTTCTGTGGGCGTGGCTTGGTGGGCGTAGCAGGGGAAGGATACTGCAAAATCCCCATTCCCTCCCCACTCAGTCAGAGGTTGTTTTTGCCGGTTCTCTGAACTACTCAAAATTTCCGCTACTGGTTCTCCAGAACCTATGAGAACCTGCTGAATTTCACTCCTGGCATGCGCACGGTACAATCGCACCCCTGCTTCCTAGGAATGCGAATTCTCTTTTCCTCACAGAAATGTAGTTCTCAACGTACGGCCACAGTTGAGTCAAAAATTTCTGTTGCTAAGTGAGACAGGTGTTAAATGAGTTTTGCCCTGTTTTACGACCTTTCCTGCCACATTTGTTAAAAGAATCACTGAGGTTGTTAAGTTAGTAACACAGTTGTTAAGGGGTTCTGCTTCCTCTGACTTTTGTCAGAGGATTTGCAAAAGATGAAGACATGATCCCAGGAAGCTGCAGCCGTCATAAATATGAACCAGTTGCCAAGCATCCAAATTTTGATCACGTGAGCAGAGGGATGCTGCAATGGTCATAAGTGTGGAAAATGCTCATAAGTCACTTTTTTCAGTCCTGTTGCAACTTTGAACGGCCACTAAACAAACTGTCATAAGTCGAGGACTACCTATAAGTTCCTATATTGTTGCTTTACCTCTCACCAGCTCCAGCTGCTGTTCAGATTTTCCAAGCATGCCAGCGGCTTTCATCCGAGCTTCCACTTCCGTCCTGCCAACTACCCATAACCCATCGCTCTCCTTCTGCTGAAATGCGCACACAAAGGAATATAAGTTGCACGGTGGCTGAGAGAAGCAGACATTCCCCCCTTCCCCCTCACCCAAGCATTCATCCAATCAGAAAGGTTGATGCTTACCTCTCCTAGGTCAGGTGACCCAGGAAGCATGACCCGATAGGCTGGAATCTGATGACCCCACCACAGTTGTCGAGAAATACACCAATCGCTAAGCAAGGACATCAGAAAGACAGCATGAGGAGTTTAAGAAGAAACTCTCTGCATCATGTTAGATCATCTAGCTTGTTTTTCCATAAACTAAGCTAATTCTTTTGCATAATTTCCTTGGAGTTGCAATCTCTAAACACCTGCAAAAGCTCAGCTCAAGAGACCATGCAATGCTACCACCACCAAGACTGAACAGTGGTGACCAAACACAGAATAAGCCAATAAACTATTTAATAAAGGCCATTTTTCACCTACAATGGACACGGAGGTTACAATGCTGAATCAATCTTTACCCTCCTTCCACTGGGAAGGAGATATAGAAGCATAGCCAGCCGCACAAATAGGCTAAAGAACAGTTTCTATCTGTGGGCTGTCAGACTCCTGAATGCAAAATAGCATCATAACTACGTAGTATGATGGACTTGCATGTGGGTGCAACGTGTAACATGTTCACACTGGTGCAATAGGACTGGGTGTCTGTTAATATGATTTATTGGGTTAGAGATTTTCTGTCTTCATTGTGAATTGAGTTGTATTGTGTTGGGGGGGGTGCACTGAGAGAGCTCAACCAATCTCATTGTACATGTGTTGTGCACTAAAAAATAAATAAATATACATACATACATACATAATTACACAAACACACACACATATATATATACATACATACACACACACACATACATACACACACACATATACATACACAACCATATTAAATTTTACGGTATAGTGCAGTATCAGGTTTTCAATTTCAATTATATAGAATGTAAAGGATGTATGTTTGCATTTTTATTTTGATAATTGTAATGTACACTGAAGACGCCATTTAATTTCATTGTACCATGTGCAATGACAATAAACTAAAAAAAAGATAAATAGATAGACAGGCAGACAGGCAGAGATATAGATATAGATAGATAGATATTCAATGTTCAAAAACATAAATCCTACCCAGCCAAGCAGAGGATAATAAAAAGAACTTGCAAACCATTCATGGGAGATCTCCCTTGTCTTACTTGATATTCAAGAGCCAAGTCCTCCAGTTTTTCTCATAAAATTGCGGGATGAGCTTCAAAGATCCAGATTCCACAGCCTTAAGAGATAAACAGGAGAGGTGAATTCTTACAGAATCTATTGTTTATCTTCTTCATAAATGTGTTTATGACAAACCCGTACAATTTAACACTGTCATATAGCTCTACAGCAAAGCTTTAATTTCTATGACTGGAATCAGGAGTCACAAGAAGCCATAATAGCATTTGTTTTATTTTAGCTTCGCAATATATGTGGACTTGATTGCTAGGCTAGTAAATCATCTTTAGACGTTTTCCAACATACCATAGATAAAACAAACATGGCTGCCATGTATGAATATATTACAGGTAGTGTTCAATTTATAACAAGTTCAAAGTTACAATGGATTTGAAAATTGGGGACTTATGGTCCAGATCCAAAGTAAAATTGGGTCGGTCATGTGGCCAGCCTATTTTCTGAATATTATGACTTACAATGATAACAGGCAGGCTCCATTATAGTCATAATTCAAGGACTGCCTGCAGATTCATTCTCAAAATAAAAATATATTGCCAATTCTTCAAACAGACCAAAAATAATAATTAATTTGGAACATGGGGTTGGTAACTATTTATTTAGTGTATGACAAATATATGGACTTATAGTAGGTCAAATGTTAATGTCCAGTCCACCCAGCTATCCAAGGACAGGGTGGTCTGTGTTGAAAAAATCAGACACTAGGCCGTTGGTTGGTAACTATGGCAACCTTATGACCTGTGGACTCCAACTCCCAGATTTCCTGAGACAGCTGATTCAGGAATTCTGAGAGTTTGAGTCCATAAGTCATAAAGTTGCCATAGTGGCACACACACACCCCCACCTCACCCCCGAATTTGGAGTGTTACCTCTAAGGCGCTTTGAGCAATGGTTTCACTTCGGATAAACCACTGGTTCTTCAAGAGGATTTCAACCACATCTCCAGAGCGGCTGTGGAAGAAAAAAATAAACCAAGAACTCCCTTACAATCTACTTGTTCCTTTTAATTTTATTTAAGGCTCACCTTTCCGCTCGGATAAGCATGTGTAAAGGTAAAAGTAAAGGTTACCCTCGCACATATGTGCTAGTCGTTCCCAACTCTAGGGGGCGGTGCTCATCTCTGTTTCAAAGCCGAAGAGCCAGCGCTGACCTAAGACATCACCGTGGTCATGTGGCCGGCATGACTAAATGCCGAAGGCACACAGGATGCTATTACCTTCCCGCCAAAAGTGGTCCCTATTTTTTCTACTTGCATTTTTACATGCTTTCAAATTGCTAGGTTGGCAGAAGCTGGGACAAGTAACAGGAGCTCACTCCATTATGTGGCGCTAGGGATTCGAACCGCTGAACTTTCTGATCGACAAGCTCAGCATCTTAGCCACTGAACCACTGCGTCCCACATAAGCATGTGAGGGAGCTACAAAAATTTAGAAATGAGAACAGAATGCAGTTAAAGATACAAAGCTAAGAACTAGAGGAGTTAAATCTTTAAAAGTAAGGTGGACAGAAGCTTACATTATCAGTACAACTTCTAAAAGGTTAATAAACATAAAAATGCTTGAATTGTACAACTAAAGCTAAGTATGGCATTGGAAGACCTTTGCAAGGTGCATTTAAGGTTCCTATGGGGTCCTTGGTGCTCTCCGAGCATGATGGTTTGCTTGCAGACATTTCATTACCAAACTAGGTAATATCATCAGTTACACATGTTATATAATATGTACTTTTGTCAAATGTTTTCCCTGTCTGACCGCCTGTGACTTCTTGGCAGCTTAATCTGACCCATGACCCTGAGGGGAGGGAGGCAAAGAGGGACAGCCCAATATAAACATTTCAGGGTCCCATTACCTGCAAACAGGAAGGACTAAGCAATGCTCTTTCGCACCCCGATAGAGCCCTTTCTCCTTCAAAGCAGCCAACACCTTCTCTCGAGCCAGGAATCGATGCAATCCCTGGAAAAGGAAGCACCCATGTCCAAACCAACTCAGTGGCATCTATTCTACTATGGCAATTGGTTGGGCTGCCTCTTCCAAAGGGGCAACCCCACCCCCCAAACACATGTTCACCTGTCTTGAGTCATAACAGAAATATTAGTAAAGGTAAAGGTTCCCTTTGCACATATGTGCTAGTCATTCCCACCTCTAGGGGGTGCTGCTCATCTCCGCTTCAAAGCCAAAGAGCCAGAGCTGTCCAAAGACGTTCTCCGTGGTCATGTGGGCAGCATGACTGAACGCCAAAGGCGCATGGAACAATGTTACCTTTCCACCAAAAGTGGTCCCTATTTTTCTACTTGCATTTTTACATGCTTTCGAACTGCTAGGTTGGCAGAAGCTGGGACAAGTAATGGGAGCCCACTCCATTAGGCAGCATTAGGGATTTGAACCGCTGAACTGCCGACAACTCCAAAAATGGTCTTACCTGCACCCATTCTCCACATTCTGCGGTCATCATGCCGTTTTCTGCAATAACTGAAATGAGCGGCAAATTGTGCCTCTGGGCCAGTTTGTAGTCAACGTGGTTGTGTGCCGGAGTGACCTTCACAGCCCCTGAAAGATGGTGTGAAGTCCCAAGTTGAGAGGTATCCCTCAAGGCAAGCATTTGCAAAACCCACATTTGGCTTCTGCCAGGTGGGAGCGAGGTGTGTTTCTCACCTGTGCCCATTTGCGGCTCCACAGCTTCATCCGTAATGATAGGAAGGAGACGTCCGGTGAATGGGTGGCACACTCTCTTGCCATGCAAGTGCTGCCAAAAACATGCAAGAAAGACAGTTCAGGTGATATACATGTTGGGTCAAGGGGTTCTGCCTGAAAAAAATATATGGGCAAAATATTTGTGACAATATGGCCTCCCATAGACTCAACAGGGTAGAATACACAAAGCAGCTTTATTCTGTTCTAGGCTATAAAGTGATAAAGGCCAGTATTATGGGCACTGATTTTTCAGGATCTCGCTAAAGCGGTGTTTCTCAACCTGGACAGCTTTAAGATGCGTGGACTTCAACTCCCAGAATTCCTCAGCATCTTCCCTGGCAGATGCCTGGCAGAGTAGAAATCCATGCATCGTAAAGTTGCCAAGGTTGAAAAACATTGCTTTAGAGCAGTGTTTCTCAACCTTGGCCACTTGAAGATGTCCGGACTTCAACTCCCAGAATTCCTCAGCATCTTCCCTGGCAGATGCCTGGCAGAGTAGAAATCCATGCATCGTAAAGTTGCCAAGGTTGAAAAACATTGCTTTAGAGCAGTGTCTCTCAACCTTGCCCACCTGCAGAACTGTGGACTTCAATTCCCAGAATTCCCCTGCCAGCATTGCTGGTTGGGGAATTCTGGGGGTTGAAGTCCACACATCCTGAGGTGGCCAAGGTTAAGAAACACTGCTTTAGAGTAAGGATGGATCAACTGAAATCCAGAGTTTTATACATGGCTCCCCAAATATCTTTTGGCAGTTTTTATATGTTCTAAAATCATAGGGCAAAATTTCATGACAAATCACTAAATTACACCATGCAGGTTATTTTTTTAAGTGTAAAAATGGTATGATAGGCTCCCAAAGGTTTAATACTTTAATACTTTCTTTCTGATACTCCCACACCAACATGGTGTTGAGGTGGCGCAGTGGTTACAGTGCAGTACTGCAGGCTAGTTCAGCTGAGTGCTAGCTGCAGTTCGGCAGTTCAAATGTCACTGGCTCAAGGTTGACTCAGCCTTCCATCCTTCCGAGATGAGTAAAATGAGAGCCGAGATTATTGGGGGGCAATAAGCTGGCTCTGTAAACCACTTAGAGAGCTGTAAAAGTACTATGAAGCGGTATATACGTCTAAATGCTATTGCTATTCTAGCTTTTCTCCCTCCAGAGACTCCATACATCTCACCAAATCTCTTGTAGTCTTAGAACTTGAGAGTGGGGGATAGAAGTCCTCCAATTATGTTCTTCCTGGTCAAGGATCTCAATCAGAGAGAACCCCTTAACCCTATCATTTAAGATGGCTTCCTTTATTTTTCGGTCTTTCCTTAAGAAAGAAAAGGCTCCAAGCCATTACAATTACAAGATAGAGTAACATTCAATCTGGTCTCAGGATGGACCAAAACTTCCTTTTACTCAGAAAGGAGAATCTGGGCAGAAGTGCCTTACCAAATAGCGCGAGTCATCTGGGTGAATGGCAACGGCCACGTCACCAAACATTGTCTCAGGACGGGTGGTGGACACAGGAAGTTCCATGCCTGTTTTCATCAAAGAAAGATAAGTGTCATTGGAATGAAAAATAAATAAATTAAAAGAGTCGTCCAACATTATTAGTGTTGGGGGTATCTCTGTTGGGAGACAGAAAGTAGTGCAGTGGAATGTGCAGCTAGAGAGAAAGAATGTTGCTAGT